CAAGCGCTACTCGCGGAAGGATCGCGGAAGGGCTTCGCGGAAGGGGTAGTTTCTGTAGCGGAACTATGTAGGAATAAACACCAAAAAGCTCAGATATTCGCATTTGTACAAGTTGGCTTTCGGGTGCAACGGGCATCTCCATCCTCTTCCCCTGCCTCTGACATTCCGGGATCTCCTCCTCCCTCTCTCTGTGACTAGTGACTAGTGAGGTGTGTTCGTTGTACTCATTTTTGCGTTTCAGACCGAGATTGTGTCTGCCGTGTCTGCTGCATGCTGCGGTATCTTGACAAGCCGGATCCAAATCCAAGCTGACTGATCGTTGTCTTCCCTGGTTTGCAGTCCTTGTCAACTTTGATTTGCTTGATCATTTTTGGAATTTTCCAGATATCCCCTTTGCAGCCATTGTAGTAGGTCGCGAGTGACGCTCCTGGAATCACGCCATTGCGGCTCAATGGGCCCTGGCTCGAGGCGCTTTGCAGTGCTTGAAGACTGGGATGCGCGTTGTCGACATTACCCGGCAGCAGGCTTCTAGCTTGTCTGCCTCATCGAGGCAAGGGCACAAACACTTCCGCCGCATTCGCAGTCAAGAGTCTCTCTCCCTCCCCTCTCTCTCTCTCTCTCTCTCTCTCTCTTTCTCTCTCAGAAATGAGCGTCCGCCTGGATAGTTGATCCATGTTTGCAGTTTCTGATGATTGTGCGCAGTGAAAAGCGGCTCGAGCAAGCTTGACCGGCTGCCTCTGCTAGACTGCGCTTGGGGAAGTTGCGCCCGGCCGCAAGCTTTCTCCGCCAGGTCCAAGCATTTGTTAAGGCACGCCAGTTGTCCGAAGAGCGGATGGCATCACCAAATGTGTACCGTGAGAGCCGTGCCTTTGAGCCTTTTGAGGTAGAGGAGCCAGAGGACTCAAGCAGAAGGGAGACAACATGCATGCAGACAGCGATGACGGTTGCTGTATATTCTCTTGGGTCAATGGGCCTTAACTTGTTGATGAAATACCTCTTCAGCCACATGCCGCTGCAGCTATATGAGGGCCAGCGTCAAGTCTATGGGTTACCTGCGCCACTCTTTTGGACAGCTACCCAGCAAGCGATAGGCTTCGGCTGCTTTTCAGTTTCATTTGTGATGCACAGACAGACGAAGGGGCGCTATGGCTATCGGCCGCCGCCTCTGACACTGTCGACCGCGAAAATGGTGACACTGCTAGCGCTGTCCTTTTCAGCTAGCATGGGACTGAACAACTTGTCTTTGTCACTTGTGAGTCTTTCGGTGAATAACATGATTCGCTCCACCAGTCCGCTGACAACTGCTGCAGCCGCTGCACTATGGACAGGGAAAGGACCAACCTCAGAGCAATGGGTTTTAGTGGGTTTAGGAACATTGTTCGTGCTGATCAATGTGATCTCTGCACGACCGCCCCCTTCCACGCAGAGTAGCTTTGCTTTGGGGGTGGCAGCTGGGTTCCTGAGCACGCTCGGAGGGGCCTTCATGTTCATAATTGTCGAGAGGTTTCAGAGTGCACCAACAGCACTCAATGCTGTAGACTCAATGGGTTTCATGACCCTGCCAGCTGCTGTGCTACTGACTCCTGGGATTTTCTTGTTCCAGCATGCAACCGGGAACTGGCTTGAAGCGGGCATGCGCACTACGGACTTCGAGTTGGTAAGCATGGTGTCGGACGGTGCGAGATTGTTAGCCGCAGTGGCGTTCGGCGGCTTTGCAGCCTACGGATACAACATACTCCAGTTCTATACTGTCCAAGAATTATCATCCACGCAGACAGCGTTTGCTTCAAATGTTTCTAAGGCAGCGCTGGTCCTAATTTCGTGGATGTTCCTAGAAGAGCCTGCAAGCCAGCTGCAATCCTGGTTGGTTCTTCTGTCTGCAGCCGGTGGTCTAGCATGCTTCCTGCTCTATGCACTTTCCAAAGCTAGAAAGCTGGAGCCGGAGGAGACGTGGTACCACAACCCTAAGAGGAAAGCCATGGTGCTTCTACTTGCTGTTGATGCTGCAATTCTCGGAACTTTGGCTTGCGGCCGTTGGCTTGCGCAAAGTCAGCCTGAGCGACAGCTTTCATGAAAAGGACTTTCGGGATGAAGGGACATAAAGGGAAGCCGAATTGAAAGAACTCTCTCAACCTGTGAGATCCTTTGAGTCTGCAGGCCGGGCTGGGTTCGGCAAATTGCTGAGAGCAACTTGGACCCTTTGGGCGAGCCGCGAGGTGGTTGCTTCGCTCCGCACCCAGATCCCAAGTGTTCAAACAGAGGATATGCAATGCAAGCAGTAGGCCAGTAAGTGCTCTGGCTATCTGGCCCCGGAGGAGCGCAGGGATGGTAGAGTTTGACAGATGTAGGCCAGCACATGCAATTTGCAGGACTCTGCAAGTTACGTCAACGATCCAAAAGCCACTCTATGCAGGCATGAGCTCGCATTACTTCGCATGAAGAGATACAGTATGTGGAGACGAGTTCAGACATGTTGAGCCCAGGGCAGAATGCACGTACCTTCAGGCGCTGCGGATATGCTTTCCTGGACCACCGACGAAGCCCGACAGGCAAGCGCAGAAGTGGGTGCACTCAGTGCTTTACTGCTTGCTGTTTGCATGGGGTATCGCCGGAAGACCTGCAAGCCTTTCTGTACAATGCAGCGTTGGCTTCTCAAGCCTTGTGCTGACGAAAGCATGGCTCGGAGGAGCACCGTCTGCGCATTGCAGTTGCTTTGCTTTTCCCGACTTGTCATGCTGACACTTGGGTTTTGGAAATATGCGTTGAAGAGCACCAACTGTCACCTGACAGAGGAAAGTGCTGCCGCCTTTCCTGCTCCTGCTGGCCTTCGCATGGAGCCAAAGGTGCTTGACGGCCTTGGGCCTTGGGGGGAAGTATTGGTACCTGAAGTCTTGTCGGAACAAGGCTATTCCTGTGCGTGGCTACAGAAAGGGTTGTGTTAGATTATGCAGCATGAAGGCGTGAGCATCTCCTGCTTGTTTGTACCTCGATGCAGGTGGGCCTTCGTCAGCACAACAGCGGCGGAGGGCGCCGCACGACCTGCCGCCCGCGGGGCCAGACATCAAGAGCCGAGGACGCTGTGAACATGTCATGCGTATGACTGGTCAGTCAAAACATGCCCTGAGTGGAAGTGATAACTTTGTGGTCTTCGAAAGGAGCGTTGATCTCGCAGCTCGCGGCGGAGACAGTGACGCAAGTGAGGTAAGCTTGCACTGCAAATGTTGATGCAGCAGCGATAGCAACAAGTTTGTCAGGAGAGTATAGAAGTGGGTGGCTTCTCAGCGCTGGTAGTCGGTCTGGCCGTGCTACCTTTTGCAGGCAAGGCATAGATGGCATAGAGTATCGTTCCTAGCATCCTTCAAGTCCCGGGTCGGAAAAGCATGTAGGATCAGGCCCATTCTGTGAGCAGGATATGCGCTGAAATCGGCAGTCTCCATCATCTTCTCCGGGACCAGCTTCGAAATCGGACCTTACGGCTTAGAACTGACATCCATCATCGTCACAATCGGGTTGCCCAACTGCATGCATCAGTGGATTATAGCCGCTAGCAAGGTCGCAAGCACATTCCTGCGAGAAGTGGCCCGGTTGCCTCAGGTCGGTTGCGTGGTCGCTCAGCAGCGTTTTTGCTCGTGGAAAGGGGCTTCCTGCTGGCTGGCTTGGCATTTTGGGACTTGCAGAGGCCGCGCACGTATTCCAAGAAGAGGTTTAACGCAATAGCCACAGCGTTTGAAATGCTGAGGGCCTCTCCTACTTGGCCACTCTTGCATTGGCCGTAGCGTTCTTGGCTTCGGGTTTGCGCGCTCCATCTTCTTCCAGCCCAAGCAGCCCAACGGCTCAGAGGAGTCAGGTGGGCCTTTGCTGCTACCAGACACCAAACCATTTTTTTTTTTATTCCTGATTGGTTGACTGCGAGGCACCAGCCTTCCGATCTTCAAGCGGGTACTCGGTTTCGTCACCCTCTGGAAGGGGTGATTTGTTTTCTTTTGACTCGAGCACCAGCGCTCCCAGTTTCAAAGCTCCAGAAGTTAAGATGCCAACGATGCCAAGTTTCAAGACTCCAGAGCTTCCGTCTTTCAAGGCGCCAGACATCAAAGTGCCTGACATTAAAGCACCGCAGGTGCCGACGTTCAAGGCACCTGACATCAAGGTTCCTGACATCAAGGTTCCTGACATCAAGGTTCCTGATGTGAAGCCGCCAGAATTGCCAGCATTTAAAGTACCTGAGGTCAAGGTTCCCGATCTAAGGCCAAGCGAACCTGCAAAGCCTGCCAGAACACCAGCAGCCCAGCCAAGTGCGGGAGACTTTGATGATCTGTTTGGGTCTGACGTAGTGGCGCCATCAAAGCCTGCGACGGATACCAAGAAAGCAGAGGCAGAGAAAAAGGCTGAACAGGAACGACGCAGCGCAGAGGAAGCACGCAAGCGCGAGGAGGCCAAAAAGGCCGAGGAGGAGCGAAAGGCAGAGGAGGCGCGAAAGAGAGAGGAGGCTAAGAAGGCAGAGGAGGAGCGCAGAGCCGAGGACGCGCGCAAGAGAGAGGAAGCCAAAAAGGCCGAGGAGGCGCGAAAGGCTGAGGAAGCACGCAAGAGAGAGGAGGCCAAGAAGG